GACCTGTGGGCAGCTGGTAACCAGGTTAGGCTTTGCAGGCCTAGGGCAGCTTCTGTTACAACCCAGCTCTGCTGGTGCAGCGTGAAATCAACTGGAAGACAACACCCCCAAAGAATGAGCGTGCACCAACACACACGTAGTTATGAACGTGAAACTGAATTTCATGTAATTTTCACATGTCACAAACGATATTCTTTTTTTTTTTTTTTCCAACCATGGTAAAAAATACTCTTAGCTCATAAGCTGTACAACCAGGGCAGTGGGCCAGAGCTTGCCAACTGCTGGTATGAACGTCAGGGCTTAGATTTAAACCTACAAAATTCTGCAAATGGTCGGGAACCCAAAAAGTCTTTGTGGAGGAGTGTGAATGTTTCTTAGGTCCTGTTGCCTTTATTACTGCCGCTGAATACTTCCCTATATAAAAACAGATAAACATCAAGCAAATGTCCAACTCACTTTGGAATGTGTTAGACAAGCATGCCCAGCTCCTGACCCTTGATTTGCAGTTCACTTGGGATCAAGTAGATTGACTCCCAAGTGTGCACTGCATGGGTATGCATGTTCTTGTGCACATGCGTGTGCGGTGCATGTGAGTGTGTGCATCCCTGGGTGCATGTACGTGTGTGTGAGTGGGTGCTGAAGACAGACTTTAGTGAAGTAATGGCAGACAATGAAAGATAACATATACATATGAGGTAGGTACACAGTGCTATTATTACCTCCATGTGGCAGAGGGGGATACTGAGGTTCAGAGAGGATAAGCAACTTTTTCAAATTTATTCCATAAGGGGAGACAAAATTCAAATGCCATGATGCCTAGCTGCAGAACCAGCACCTTCGCTACCAACGTGCACCCCTCACTGTCCTGGGGAGAGACAGTCCCCCCTGGTCCTGGCTGTCCCGTGAAGCCCTAGCCCGCCACCGGCTCCCTCTGACTCGCACCCTGCCGGAGGCAGTCCGTCCAGAACAAACAGGAAAATTAGTAGTCAGGACAAGATTAGAAGGACCAGGATGGACTATGTCCAATCACGAGTGGAAAGTCCTCGTAAAAGACAGTCCCTTCTGCGGGCCTCTGTGCCTTGTTTATGAAGGTCTGATGTGTGCCGGGGTCTCACATCATCCCCTGATAAAGTGACTGTGTCAGAGAAGCAGATCCAAAGCAACTGTGGCACGTGCTGTCACGCCCCATTGCTGGACTTTCACCCACAAGACTAGCTAGGTGCCCTTCCTGACCCTGGACGACATGCCCCCCGCAGCTTCCCATCAGAACACAAGCACAGGCGTCTCCCGCCCGGCTTGTCCAAAGGGTTCTCCACCTGGCGAGAGTGCTCGTCTCTTCCAGGCCACTCCCGCCCTGCCCATCCCTGCGCCAGCAAGGGCCTGGGCCAGCAGACTGGAGGATTGTCCTCCCCTCGGCTCGTGACTTCCCATTAACAAGGCATAAAGCCTACACAGAATTGTTCATTTTCTAGATTTTTCTATCCCATGTGACAGAGTGCAATTGGACACCGGCATGTGTTATAAGTCAGATTCTGAAACCCCGGTCTCCATTTCCCCGTTTGTCGGCCTTGTGAATTTAGACAAGGCATTTCAATTTCTGAGATGTGGTTCCCTTCTCTGTAGCACGAGTGCTTGTAATCATATTTGTGCAAGCATTTTAAAAACTCTAAAGGCCCACATGTAGATAAGCAAAAATTACATTATACCCACCAAGGGTTAGCAACTTGTTTACAACAACCCTCACCAGTAGGGGAGGCATTTATGAGACAGCATCTGATTGCGGTACAATCACAAAGCTCACTGGGCTGGGCCTCCAGTTTCAGCATAGGGCAGTCCACCAGGCCAGCAGCATCCATGCTAGGGGTCCAGTGTCCCCTGCAGGCACTCTGCCGCTCCCATCACTTCATTATCCAAATGCTTTCAGTGCTGATACGTGCAACTTTTAAAAATCTGCACCACCACCTTTTACAAGCAGATTCTACAACATTACTGACTCTTCCTAACCTACTGAAAGCAAAAAGCAGAGACAGTTTTAAAGTATAATATGCAATTAGCATATGCGATGGAAGAGGTCTTGCGTTTTTCCTCTTTCCTTATGATTAGTCATAAACAAGTATGATTTTATCTCAACAAATAAAGTAATAATGAAATGCATTTTTATCTTTTCTATTGGATCTCTTTTCAGGTTGTGGCAGCTACACTGTTTACCTAGGCAGTTCACTGCTGCCCACCGTCTGTAGCGTAGTGCTAGCCATATGAGAAGGAAGCATGACAGTGCCATGAAACAGCTCTCAACATGCTGGTCAAGGTGTCAGGATTGGGCAGGTGGGATGGGGCCAGATAAGGAAAGATCTTACCCTCAGAAACGATCTTAAAATTCATGGAGAGTTATTGGAAGGTTTAATGCACTGGGTTAACGTGGATTTACTTGAATCTTAGAAAGATTAGTTGGGCAGTGGAGTGGTGATGGTTTGAGAGGAATGATCAAGTCAGGGAGATCAGTTAGAAATCGACTTGAATCACCCAGCAGAGGAAAGATGACCATTTAAACCAAGACAGTGAAGCTGGAGCAGGGGAAGTCGATTTTATGGCCACTTAGGGAAAAAGAGTTGACGGCACTTGTGGATCAGTTGGATGATGAGGGCAAAGGAGAGAGAAAACTCCCAGGTCGGGCTGAGGTCAATGGGTGAACTCAGTGATGGTATCTGTAAGAGGGAAAATGAATGGGAAGTCATTTGTGGGGGAAGAAGGTGTGTTCAGTTTCTGCCATGTTTGGTTTGAAGTGTTTTGGAGACATCCAGGAACCGGCGTCCAGTAAGCACTGGGTAAAGCATGTCAAGGCCAGAGAGAGTAACCAGGTTTCAGGTGGTGGCAGAAGCCGTGGAGTTGAATGAAATCACTGGGGAGATCGGAGGGTGTGAGGAAAGAAGGCTGCGGATGAGACCATAGTGGATTCTAACATTCGTGATGTGGCCACAGGAAGGGAGCCCGTGAAGGGGGCTGGGGAGCTGCGAGCAGGGAGGAAAAGGACTCAAGACCAGAGCTGGGAGGGAGTCAAGGGAAGTCAGAATGTCAAATTAAGGATGTCCAAGAGTGTCAAATGCTGTAGATGGTGTTAAAAAGTAGGACCCAAAAGTGTCTGTTGGAATTTGCCATCCAGAGGCAACTCAAACTTTGTGACAGCAGTTTCACATGAGAAGAAATTACCTTTATGTTCTTGTTCACTCTGAGATTGTCTGAGTCTGTGGTGGCTAGTGGCTGATTCATAAGGCCTGTGTTTGAAAGAAGCTTAAGAGTGGAGCTCTAGATATTTCCGTCTCTAAAAATTCCCAATAACCATCTTCCTTTTCTAGCCAAGTTATGTTTCAGTTTAACATTATTGAGAATTCAGTTCTTTTTTACTTTCTGCCAATTTGAAAGGTGATTAAAATCAGGGTAGCATTATGTGAATGAACCTAGGGTCGATCGTACCTAGGAACCAGACTCAGCTCCAAATGACTGCTCATGTTGGCTGAAATCTCGATGCCAATTCCGATTTTCCACTCAGAGAAACAGCAGTGAACTGGATTTCCTCTTTAACTATGTGGTCCAGTGCCCATCACTTCAAGCAGTGCAATAGTTTTCCCACTGCTGAATTAAATGGCCCGATGTCCCAGTATTTGTGGGTGGGAAGGCAGGAAATAATAAGCAGTGATTTCATTTGTTTCTGCAAGTTACAGAAAATGTGCTGGGTCCTTCCTTGGAGTCTTGTATCAGGAGGTTGGGACCCAGCTGTGGCATGTGAAGGAGCTCCTGTCTAACTGCCATTGGCGATCCGTGCAAAGTACAGCCCGAGCAAAATCCTCAAAATGTTTATTTACGTGCCAGGATGGCAAACCACATGAGGTCAGCATTGAATCAATACATGCTCCTTCGTTAAAGGACTCAAAATGGTCTCTGCAGAATGAATGTAGATTAGCGAAGGTGTTGAACTTACCACGCACGTCCGGCAGGTAAAGAACTATCTTAGCACGGTGGAGACAAGTTCCATAAGCTGGAATAAGTTACATGTTATGGTGACATTTTTTTTAAAAAGGTTATTTATTTATTTATTTGACAGAGAGAGAGAGCACAAGCAGGGGAAGCTGCAGAGGGAGAGGGAGAAGCAGACTCCACCACTAAGCAGGGAACCTGATGCAGCACTCGATCCCAGGACCCTGGGATCATGACCTGAGCTGAAGGCAGACGCTTAACGACTGAGCCAGCCAGGTGTCCATGATTATGTTGCATTGCAAATTCTTCACTGGCTGCTAGAGTCTTTACTGTTGTCTAAATTATTTTTCAGATAACGTCACTTCATATTGCTCCAAAGATAAAGAAAAGCCATGTATTCAGAGATCATGTAAAGTGCATTATTCATTTGCAAAGTGAACTGAGGCGATGTGCCTGTAATTGTTTGTGTCTCATGGATAGTCACAGACACACTCCCGTAGGCTGCAACTGTTCTAAATCTGTGAATGGGATCTTCAGTCACAAATGTTTGAGGACAAATTTGTAACTAGAATTAAAAATTTCACCACTTTCCTTAACTTTTTTTTTTTTTAAGTTCTGAAGAGTTGGTTTCAAAATCAGTCGTGTCATGGAACTTTCATTCTTAGAATTTGAGAGCCCCATATATATTTTCAAGTTGCCCGGAGCTCAGTACCTCGAGCCTAGATCCTTCCTAGCACCAGGTAGGACATACACCACAGGCTCAGCTGCCTTCCCTCCCCCACGCCTGAACCAGAGAACTCTAGAGTTTAACTGATTGTCTGGCTTATTTTATCCACAGTTGATTTTAATTTGTTAGGAGAGGAATAATTCCTTTTTATCTCTGTCTTTTTTTGGCTAACTCAATTAAATCAGCCCTCAAATATACTGTGGGATTAATGTAGGCATATAATTTTATTCTTGAAGACACAGACCTAATTTTCTAATTTCTAATAGAATATCTTTTTTTTTAATTTAAAACTTGCCTTTGACTTCCTGATGATTTAAAGAAAAATTCAAATATCATAAATAATAGTAGGCCAAATGGAGCTTAAAGGACTACAAGACACATTCCAAAGGAAAAGTGTTTTCTGTAAATGATTTGATCCTTGATATTGATCAAAGCCTCATGGGACTCACGCTCAGAAAAGTCAGACCAACCTGCAGGATTTTAACAGTTTAAGAAAAATATGTCAGTGGGCTTTGTCTTTTGCCTCCATGCAAACATTTTGCTAAGCTTGTGGTTTTTCAACTGGAGTTGTAAACATTTTGTGGCTGTCTGGGGCAGGGCGTGGTACAGCTCCTGATGAGGCACCCCAGGGCTGCTAGAGGACAAGTCCCCCTCCCCACGATGACAGGCCTCCGTTCCAGCAAGGGGACATGAACACTGGGATCACTTTTTCTTGCTAAAGGGCCAATAGAAATGAGGAACAGAGCTCTGTAGAAAGAACAGGTTTTATCCCAGAAGCTCGCCCAGACACAGAAGGGCACCGACCTGGAAGCAGGGCTGCTCCCACATCTTGCTCTGGGAGGCCCAGGAGACGAACCCTGAATCCTGAGGCTGCGGGTGCTCGCTTCAGGAAACGCTAGAGCACAATGCACCAAGACGCAGGGTCACGGGCTTGAGATGTGAAGGCAAGAAGTGACAAAAATAAACCTGCAAGCAGGCGGGGAGCCCACATCACAGAGGATCCTGTGAGGTTTCTGGAATAGCTGATGCCTCACTTCCCATCAAATTTGGATTAGCCATGGCAAGAGAGGAAAGAGAACAAATAAAGGAAATCCACAGATAATCCCCAAACCCCCATTTGAGCTAATAGTTTAAATTCCTTCGATGCCAAGTCAAGCCGTTTTTTGTTTACCAGAGTTGATAATGAGGGACAAAATAAACCAATCTCACCTTAACCTCCTTCCTGTGCATGTGGATGGAAACAGGGTTTGGCCTGAGGTAATCCTTACTATGGGTGAATCTGTATAAGCCCCACCCTGGAGTGGGGTGGGGGTGTAGAAAGAGGACTGCCTGCCCCCACCCCCAGTAGCATGGCCAGTGTCCCCTGAGGAGGAGCTGTTGGAAGCCAGCCCCGCTGGGGGGTAGGTCTGGAGTGCAGCCAGCAGGGAGTGAGGGACAGTGTGGGGGGGTACTCTGGTCATCCTAGCGGGGGGTGGATAGTGTGAGATGGGACCTACTGATGCAGCCCAACCCAGTCCAGAGCCACTAAGCGTGGCATAAGGGAGAGGCAAAGAAGGGCAAAGAAGCTGAGAACAGGAAAGTTCAGTGAGCGGCACGGGGTTGAGGCAGAGATCTGTCTCCTGCTCTTCCTGTCTTGGACACCCACTACATTCAAACCACAGTACTGGCCATGACAAAAACAGCCCCCAACTAGAAGTCTCCTCAGCCTGTCACTGCATTTTCAATGAGTCTGGAACCATAGCCCCAACACCAATGCTCAGTAGTGAATGGCTTTCTTCACATCTCTAGACATGGAGCCTCTCAGGGCCAGGTCCCAAGACGTCCTTTCCCTGGTGAACCCCCTTCTGAGATGACTTCACCTGCGTTTTCTGACCTTCTCAGGTCATTTTGCCTGGGGGCACTTCCCCAAAGAGTAGAAGCAGCTCCAGGTCTGTAGGTCTGGGCGGCAGCCAAGCTGTGTCACTAAGGAGCTCAGTAAGTCGTTTTTCTGCTGTTTCTTTTGCCTCATCTGTAAAACGGGAATAAAATTAGCTATCTCTCTTCATCTCGCAGCTGACGCAGACTAGAGCAACTTAACCTTTCTATTTAATAAACAAACTCTGAGAAAACATCTCAAGGAATTTCTTTCCTTCTCTCTCACTCCCTTCTTCCTTCCTTCTCTCCCTCCTTCCTTCCCTCCCTGTTTCCTATCCATTTTTGCTTTTCTTTTTCTGTTCTTCTTTTTGGAAGTAGCTCTGGAAGAAACTTCCAGCATTCCCCTATTGATATTCTGGTGCTTTTCAACTCTTTTCTATTTGGTAATAATTTTATAAATGTGTTCTGGAAAAAATTTTAAAAGATGTAAGTACAATAAAACAGTGGATAGGAAAGCCCTTTAGACACTAATACTCAACCAATATAAGCTGGTGAGTTGTTACCACAGAACAGGAATCTTCTGGGGGCACAGGAAGAAAAAAGGTCTGACTGGGCCTCAAATTCCATGTAGTTTCAACAGGACTCATTTTCATACAAATTCCTCCTAGAAAGTAGATCTCCTGAACAGCCCTGGAAGGACATTTGTAACCACCTCAAGTTCTTTTCCCTTTGGTATCTGAAATGATTTAGCCTAAAAAGGAGCCTCAGTGGGCCTCTTGTCAGCTGTCAATAATTTTAGGCTCTTAAGTCAGGATTGCCCCTGTCTTTCTTCTGAAAAGAGAAAAATCCAGCCTCAAGTTAACTGCTAAGCCCTTAAAGAGTTCCTAGTTCAAGAAGTCAACTCACTCTGCTCTGTCAGCCTCCCTCTGAGGACAGAAAATGAGCCCAGCCCTTCCCCAGTCCCCTTCGAGGACCCTCCCCATCTTCTGCTGCCCCTCATGTCAGTCCAAGAGCCCATGGAGGAGGCAGAAGGAGGAAGAAGACAGCACTGCGTATTCCCCGAAGATGCTGAGGGGGACAATGCGTTCCTCACTGGAGAAAGGCCGTGTCCTAGGCAGCACCCCTCCTCTATCTTCCGAGTATTCCACTAGGGTTGAGGCACCTCCTCCAGTTGGTCTCTAACCTTCCCAGTAACCCCCTCTCAGAGCCCCGTGCTCTAGGGCCACAGGTGCAAATGGCCTGCAGCCTGGAATCACCATGCCCTCGTGCTTCCTCCTAAGGGAGAAGGCAGACAACCCTGCCCAGCATCTGGGCTTCCTGAGTGAGCACTGCTGTCCCTGAGAATCCAAGGCATGCAGCGCTTCAAACAACATCTGCACATAAAAGTTGTTGGAAATAACACGTCCACCAAGAGAGTTCAGGCAGCTATTCAGGGAAAACAAAACAGGGTCTGCCTGTCCCATTTTGCTTTGTTTTGTATTGTTCTCTGCTTCCTCTTCTTCCGCCCCTGCCTTCTCTCCCGCATCTTGCCACCTCTTTCTCGTGTTAGGACATTAGGTGCAGCACATAAATGTAGCTGTTATGATGACTGTTACTCTGTTGTTTTGGAGAAACAACAGCGATGAGTTCCACCCTGAGGGCCTCGCCGGCGTCACTGTTCTTACCTGGCAGTGGGAGACTAATGCAAGCCATCCCACCAACAGCAATGAGCAAGGGCCGAGAGCCCCCACTCCCAGAGAGGGGGTCTCCCGGTTTGCAAACAGATCTTTGTTGTGATCTTCAAGGTATTTGCCTGGCCTTGGCAGTTTGGTGTCCCTCGAACTTTTTATAAAACATGAGACTCCTTCCACATCAGGCATTTGAAATCCAACCACTTTTGCAGACCATCTGTTATTTAGTAATGTGCAAATTACCAAAAAATAATTCCAGATTCTTTTTTGCAAACCCAGCTATAAACAAATGCTCCACATGCTGAAATGGAAGTCATTTTCTCTTTGAAAACTCATTAAATGGTGCACAATGGGAAGAAGTTGAGGGAGAAGCTCCCTAGCAGATTCCAGGGAGCGGTACTACTGCACACAGATAATAACATGGAGCCAAACATTGACAAGTCTTCAGGAATCTTCTGCCTGCTTCATATGGACTCCCTTCCTGCTGCACAGTTGCTCCAGTGTGTTACCATCTGGTGCATATGTATGCCTGTAAAACCCCTGAGGGCCGATCTGTGTGCGGTTTGCCCAGTTAAAACATGGGCAAATGGTGATTTCTCACCTGCAAAACAATAAGATATCACAAATAAAAATTACATTTGACTTATTTATTCCTAACAGGTCATCGGGAAACCAAGTTTCCTCAGTGCTTCACAAACCGAGCCACTACCATTTCTAGAACACTCTGATTGACGTCCCTGCTAAATGGTTCTCAGGGGAGGGTTTATGGGAAGTAGGAGAAAAGTGGTGAGGAGGGAAGTCTAAACTGAGTGGATTGCAACTCTCACCAAAGTTAATTGTTTATTCTCTTGGAGCAAAATCAAATTTCCAGGGGCAGCATTCAGGCCAAATTGGGATGTGGGGCCAGTTCTCTGGGACTGACTCTGTTCCTTTCTGAGGGGTGTCTCTTGGAGTGCTAATTGTCTTATACAAGTGAGGTCAATGAGTCTAAAACCAAATAGTTAATTTTACCTTATTTTCAGTAAGGACTTTTTTTTTCTTTGAAGAGACTCATTCTAGAGCCCAGGCAAATATGAACTCATTGAAAGTTAGAGAGTTTTGTCTTCTAGTAACGAATAGAAGTTTGGCTAGATGAACACGCCTCCAGATTGCATTTATAAAAATCCGCACAAGATGCCCCCCCACACAAAAGTGTCACAACTAGAATCCACTGGAGAGTTACCAAAAGCAAGCAGAAACTGAAGGAGAGTGGACCTTGAAAGATGAGAACTGAACTGGGTAACTGTATGAGTTTTCTATTGCTGCACAATAAAATCATCACAAATTTAGCAGCTTAAAACAATACAAATGTATTTTCTCATAGTTTCTGTAGGTGAGACATCTCTGGATCTTCTGCTCAGGGTCTTACCAGACCGTAGTCAAGGTGACAGACAGGGCTGCAATTTTGTCTAAGGCCTGGGGTCTTCCTGCAGCTCACAGATTGTTGGCAGAAGTCAGTTGCTTATTGCTGTGGGCCTGAAGTTCTCAGGTCCTAGAGGCCACCCACTGTGCCCTGCCACATAGTCCTCCCCACTACATAGAGGTTGCTTTTTCAAGGCCAGCATCTGCTGCTCTTGTCTCTCTGATTTCTTGTAAGGGCTCACCCGATTAGGTCAGACCCACCTAGGATGATCTTCCCTTTGGTGAATTCCATGTCAACTGATTCGAAACCTTAATTATGTCTGAAAAATCCCTTCATCTTTCCCACATAATTAACTTAATCACACGAGTGAAATCCCAATCCTCTTCACAACTGTCCCCCATGCCCAGGGGTGGAGATTTTCTAAGACATGTGCACTAGTAGTGGGAATCTTGGGAACCATTTCAGAACTCTGCATACCACAGAGAAATTTAAATGCCTGATGGCACTCTCCAATTTTAACTGCAAGGATAGACAGTCTTACTCAAGTTTAAGGAGTCAGAAGTCATCTGACAAGATAATTAGAAGATTAGGAGAATACCAGAAGGAAAGAAACTGCAGATAGAGTGAGCCCATAACTCTGCATATAAACTCTTCCTGAATAATAAACTCTTCTAACTATGGAGCCAGGAATGTGCATGGGAGACTTCAAGAGGCCTGGCAGGGATGCCTGGGTGGCTCAGTTGGTTAAGTGTCTGCCTTTGTCTCAGGTCATGATCTCGGGGTCCTGGGAGAGACTCCCGCATCTGGCTCATTGCTCAGTGGGGAGCCGGCTTCTCCCTCTGCCTGCTGCTCCCCCTGCTTGTGCTCTCTCTCTCCCTCTCTCTCTCGGTCAAATAAATAAATAAAATCTTTAAAAAAAAAAAAAGAGGCCTGGCAAAAAAAGCAGCTGGGAGCTAAAAGAACTGAGATAGTTTTGCCTGCTGGACACCACAGGAGAGGCCATTTGGAGACCAGCTAGAACAAAACCTGACACTTCTCAGAGGAACATAACTAAATCCAGGGTCTCTACATGTATTATTCACAATATTCACTACACAATAAAAATTTACTAGACATACAAAGAACAACACATGTGACCCTAGCCAAGAAAAAAGTCAATAAATAATGACTCCAGGATAAACCAACATGAAATTAGCAAACAAGGACTTTAAAACAGCTCTTATAAAGTTGTTCAAGAGCCTATAAAGAATAGTGCCACCACTGCTCTCCTTTTCTTTGCATTTGCATACCTCCTTGCTTATCCCTTTATTTTAAATCCCTCTTGTTATTTTAAATGGTTTTCTAATATTCAGCATTTAGCTGGTCTTTGTTTTTTTAGTATAATCTGGAAATGTCTGGTTTGCAATAGGAAAACTTAGCCTTCTTTATGGTTATCATAACAATTTTTTCCTTATTAACTTATGAATATTATTTCTCCTATCTGATTACTTTCTCTTTTTCTCATTTTTGTTTGTATGATCAGGTTTCATTTACTGCCCCCTTTTCCTTCTGTTAATGGTTATTTTGTCCTCCCTGGTGTTCGTGAGCTTTACAATACTTTCAGGACCCCACTCTTCTCTCTCAGCATCTCACTCATCCCTGGATGAGATATTTGGTCTTTTTTCACTTCTTGTCTTCCTTCTTTATCCTCCCCAACATCTAGGTTTTGCTGAGATATATATTCCATTCAATGTATCAAAACTCACTTGCAGTTGTCCTCTGTTTTAAGTATTCTTATGTTGAATTTATATGGCATATCCTTAGGAAGGTTATCTTTGACTGTTAGATTATCTATCTATCTAGTCACTTATTTCAAGTTTTATTGCTTGTTACTTTTCTTTGTCTCCTTTTCACCTTTCCTTTCACTTTTTGATTCACTTGTTCTTTGTTTAGAGCTCTTTAAAAATTGTTTTCCTAATAGGTATACACAGGTGGTATAGTCTCTGAATCTTTGAATATTTGCAAATATTTTTCTTTCAACCTGACAAATGAATGAGATATTTGGAATACAGAATTCGTCAATTGAAATGCTTAATTCTTTCTAGTCTATAGATATTATTCCACCATTTTCTAGCATCCTGATGCTATAAAAGAAAATCTCTGTTGCAATTCCAATTTCTTTTTGCTTTGTAAATAAATAATTCTTTCTGTCTGGAAGTCATCATATTTTCTATTTTTCCTCAGAGTAGGATACACCTAGGTGTATGCTTTTTCTCATTCCAATCTGCCTGGAACTCAGCGATTATGTGCAATTTGAAATGTTACATTATATCATTTCACTTGTGATTATTGCATCTGGGTTCATAAATGAAGTTAATTTTCTTTTATTTTGTGGTCCTTGTTGGATTGTGATATCAAGATACTGACTTTATAAAATTAATTTCCTATCTTCAGGAGCCACATCTTTTAGGTTTGCATGGGGGTTGTCAACTCCTTGAATGTTTGATAGACTTTATTTGTAATGCCGACATAAGGCAATTGTTGAATTTTATCTATCTAGTTAAGTTTAAACAGGCTTTTGTTTACCATTTTAGTTAATTTAATGGCTATTAGCTTATTTGGGATTTCTATTTCCTCTTTCATTTTTCTAGAAATTCATTTTATCTAGGTTTTCAGATATATTGGAGTATGTTTGTTTATAATATTTTTCTATAATTTAAAAAATGTTTGTTATATCTAAGGCTAGTTTCCCATAGCCATTTTTAATTTGGCTTATTTGTGTGCTTTTTCTTTTCCTCATGATCATTTTTTTCCAGAGATCTAAATTACTAGCTTTTCAAGGAATCGGCTTTTGTTACTTTACCCTATTTTTTTGTTGTTGTTGTTTTTGGTTTTATAAATTTCTGGTTTTATATTTTCTTCATTAAGGTTTCTTTGGGTGCCCTGTTATTTTTTTTATAGTATCTTGAGTTGAATCTTTAGCTCATTTATTTTGAATTTTTCTTTGTTTTAGATATATGTATTCATAATTATTAATTTCTAAGTTAATCCCACAGATTTTGAATATTTTATAACTCTTATAGTTTCCCTTTTAACCTGGATTATCTAGTAACTTTTCAGATTTAGTTTTTAGTCATACAGGATTATGTTAGCCACCTTGTCATTGCTGATTTCTGTTTTCATTATTACATTATTTTCAGAAAATATTGGATATTTTCTGAATATCCACTGGATAATGTAAAATATTGTGGCATATGTTATGAATTATTTTGGTAAGTGTTTCATGTGTGCTCAAAAATAATGTGCATTTTACTGATTGGGATCAAGTTTGATATATTAGGTTGAAATATATCAAAAACTCCAACTGCAAGTGTTGAGCTATATATTTCTCACGTTGGTCCTGTTGGTTGGTACTCTATTTCAAGACTGTACAGTAGTATTTTCATGACCAGTACAACCCTTGGCCCTTGCAAGAGATTCTCTCTCCTAGATCCCCACACCCTTGAGACCCTTGTGTGTCACAAATGCACAAAAGTGAAATTAGTAACCTAACCTTTCACTCATGACTAACTCTGTTCAGGCCTCAGGAAAATACTTGCCTACATCTCTTGCGCTACACCCTTGACATAAAAGGCAACTATTTCAAAATGACATGAAGGCTTGTGGGTTGTGCTACTGCTGACCTTGGAGAAGGACATTGCTTTTGGAGTGCTGGGAAGGATTTCAGCAGTGGAAGGATGTAGGTAAGAGAAAATAAAAATGAATTAGCTTGTCAAATTCTTCCTTTCAGGGAGCACAGGGCAATAGATACTCACATAACAAGGCAGGATTACCCAGTAGCGTGGAGCGTCATTTATTTTAGTTTGACTCTCTTGGTTTCTAATTTCCAGTTCTAGAGGTTGGACATAAAAACCAAGGAACATTCTGTAATAAAAAAATATTGATATTACTCTTAAATTTATAAATATGTTGATCTAAACATAAGACTAGCATGTAGATAATGTTAAATGCTAGATTCATAAAACTGTTTCAGAACATTTATTTAAATTTCATAAAATAAAAACAATATATTTTTATTGAGAATGTTAATATTTATTAAGTATATTGAATTCAATGTGTATTTTGCTTTTGGATTTTAATGGATAATTTTGAATACTTTAGAAAAAACAAATTTTTGGAAAACATGCAATAATTTTAAATGTTTTGTTGTTTCATTTACCTTAATTTATATATACACATAGATTGAGGAAAATACACCCATACTTAAAACAATTATATTTTAGCACTTTATGTTAGGTAAAAGAAAAGGAGTACAAATAGAGGTCAAAATGGAAAAAAATGCAAAAGTAGAGCCTCAAGAAGAAAAAGTAAGAAAGGAATAAAGGACGTTTTCCAAAATGTGGTCTTCTTAAATGTTTAAAAACTGGAAAAAATTAAAATCAGCAGATTTCTGTTAAAGGCAACATAAATTGTAAACAAAACATTAGACACTTTATTTATAAATATTTAATTCTTTATTAAAATAAAAATATGAACAGTAAATTATCTTCATCAAATTCACAAGTTGATAAAGTCATACGAAATCCCTAAAATTTTGTAATTTTTGCTAAATGAAGGTTGAATTACTGATTTTGAAAATGACAGAACAAGTCAACCTGAATGCACTAATTAAAACTCTGGCCTGTCTATTAGGGATAAAATTGGCAAATTCAAATAGAAAAATGAAACCTGAGTGATGTCTATTGCATAATGATTCTGGAAAATGGCCATGATATCCATGTGATGGTGTGAGGATGTTTCCAGCAAACTACAATGCATTAAAATTTACAGTCTTCCATTGGTTGAAGTGGCAGAAATTTTGAGATTTCATTTTATACCAAAATCTTTTAAATGGAGGAAAAAAATGTACCTTTTATATGCTACGTTCAAAGAAAGCATTTTGTTACTACAGTCAAAATGTTTTACAACCAGTCTTCAGGTTAATGATCACATTTGTAACTGGGGAAACTTGGTTTTTTGATGAAAATAGCATAAAATGTCATTTGTGTAACACAAGAAGTGACACATGCTTCATGTACAATTTTTAAATAAAGCTGATTAAAGGGCAAACAATAGATAGTATTCAACAGTGACAAGTAAACATTCATAGAGAACATTGGTGTGTTATTCTTATGAAGTAATGTGTCCAGTATTTCACTAAGCATGACATTGCTCTTTAAGGCGTCAATAGCACAAAAAGAATATAATGGGACATTTATAGATTTACTAGAAATAACTTCATAATTTGATTCTAGAAGGATAAGCACAAAAGTCAGTTAAAAAAATAAAGCAAATGCTAATCTCTAGGATGGAGAACTCAAAATGAGATTAGCATTTTAAGGAGTGATAAAGTGAAAGAAAAACCATGCATAACATTTAACAATTTAAGTATTATTTATTTCAACTGGGTTATAGCAGAGAAAAAAGTCAAGTTGAACAACGAATATTTATTATGTATGTTGCTACAAGCAGAACAAAAACAAGGAAACTGAGATTTGTGAGCAGCTCCTGGTTTTATACCTGTTATAAGCACAGGTGTGACTTAAATCAAGAACTGAAGAAATAAATTTTAGCATGAAGAACTGATTTGAAAGTCTTTCTAGAGGAGCCTATGAAAGCATAGTCACAAGTTAGCAAAGGAAAAGGTGCTGCCAGAATTTTGGCCAGAAATCCAGAAGTATTCTTGTGTCATTGGCAATGTCGATGTTTTTTAGTTTGAATTTGTTACCAAAGAGACATGTGGGTGTCGATGACATTTTTCAGAACCTCTCAGTGATTATCTGTGATATTTCTTTGCATTTGCCCAAAAAGAACATCTCTAAGAAACACAGAAAATATGGCCTTGTGGTCACTTTTGAATACATGACAAGATAGCCAATGAAATGCTTTAAAAATTGGGTTAATTTAGAAAAGATATGACATGCACTAGAAGAGTTAAGAAAAGCAATAGAATATCATCAAATAAAAAGCACATTGTGGTCTTTGGGTAAAATAAATTTAACTTTTAAATTGTGCTATTCACAGTTACAATGAACTTCAACTGTTGCTTACTATTAATGTAATGTTATTTCAACAGATTTAGCTTTAGCTATTTCACTTTCAAAAGTATTAAAACTATTGATTTGTAGAGATTAAAGTCAAAGGAAATTTCATGGTATAAAGTATTGAGCAGAAGTGTTTTGATATCTGTAATTTACTTTATAATGCATCAAAAACAAGATGAATTAGTGGATGTGTACCTTGATGAATAAATGGAGACATATAGATAGATGATAAAGCAACTGTAGTAAAATGCTAAAGGTAGATATACATGTCCACTGAAAAATCTTTCAACTTTGTTGTCTCTGAAAATATGATAAAATGTTGGGGAAAAGAAGAAATTGCATGTGAAATTTGCAATGAGTAACATTCCAATAAAGTAGAAGAGAATTTTTAAATGAAAATGTTCAGATGACTGGAAAGGAAGAGATTCATATATAAAGAAATTCATATATAAATGAAGAGATTCAGATATATAGAGATTATTTTTTGGCCATTAAATTACCCAGCAAAATATAATCTTAATAAAAAGGAGACATCCAGGTGGGACAACAGACACATGAAAAGATGTTCAACATCACTCATCATCAGGTAAATGCAAATCAAAACTATAAGGTGATATCATCGCACACCTGTCAGAGTGGCTAAAATCAACAACACAGGAAACAACAGGTTTGTTTCTCTACAGAGATGTAGAGAAATAGGAACCCTCATGCACTGTTGCTGGTAATGCAAACTGGTGCAGCCTCTCGGAGGTTCCTCAAATAGGTAAAAATGGAACTACCCTATGATCTGATAATTGCCCTACTGGGCATTTACCCCCACAATACCAAAACACTAATTCAAAGGGAAACATGCACCCCTGTGTTTATAACGGCATTATTTACAATAGCCAAGATATGGAAGCAGCCCAAGTGTCCATTGACTGATGAATGGATAAAGAAGAGGTGGTACAATGGAATATTATGCAGCCATAAAAAAGAAGAAAGTCTTGCCATTTGCAACAATATGGTTAGAACTAGAGAGTATAATGCTAAAAAATAAGCCAGTCAGAGAAAGACAAATACCATATGATTTCACCCATAGGTGGAATTTAAGAAATAAAACAAAAGAGCAAAAGAAAAAACAAAGGAGAGAGAGACAGACACTTAACTATAGAGAATAAACTGATGGTTACCAGCGGGGAGGTGGGATGAAGGAAGAAGGTACTTGCTGTAATGAGCACTGGGTGATGTATGGAAGTACAGAATCACTATATTGTACATCTGAAACTACTGTATGTTAAGTGTACTGGAATTATTAAAAAAACAATAAAAATAATAAAAAAGAAAAAAGATTTCAAAACTGACGAATGAAGAACACATTAGAAGAAAGTGACAGAATAAAATAAAAGTAAATAGACAAAAGCCAAAAAAAGAGAGAGATTTAAATAAATTGAGCAATATAACTGCTACCTTCAACTTTCCTTATAATAACTCCAAATTTAAAAATTTAGAAGAAGAAAAACTGAAACACTGTGTGGATATAGATGGTGAAAATCATAATATAAATGATATGATAAATTTTAATTATGATTAAAAATATAATTAAATTTATAGGATAGAATACAAATATTTCCTAAGATTTTCTGTGATGAAGATAATTTACCACAAATAACCCATTATGAGGTATGCACCATGATATGTCACATTTATGAATATTTTTGATCTAAGAATTCTTTTTTAAAAGATTTTATTTATTTATTTGACAGAGAGAGACACAGAGAAAGAGGGAACACAAGCAGGGGGCGTGGGAGAGGGAGAAGCAGGCTTCCCGCTGAGCAGGGAGCCCGATGTGGGGCTCGATCCCAGGACCCTGGGATCACGACCTGAGCCGAAGGCAGACGCCTAAGGACTGAGCCACCCAGGCACCTGAATCTAAGAATTCTTTTAACAGTTTTTTCTTTTAACATTTTTATTGACATCCTAGTTGCTATTCTTTTGGCAGAATATTTTCTCCAAATTCAAATTAATTAAATTCAATGTAATAACTACAACGACTCAAAAAAGTTTGCTTCATTCGACATTACTTCACTGACATTGGTGACAACAGAATAAATTATGTAAATATTATGTAAATAAGTTATGTAAAAATTTGATTTATGAAAGCACAACTTGTGACTCCATTGAAAGGAAGACAAGAAAACAAATTTCACAAATAAATACATAATAATTTATTAATTACACGGATCTTTATTGTTTTACTCTCCCGAACATCACCAGCCATCATTTCACTCGGGCATATGCAATAATAATTAAATTCAGTTAACTTTGATATTCTGCCAACCTTCACTCTACACATATTTTTTGATTTAGATAAAATTACTTGAAAAACACAACTTGCTAAAAGCAGATTCTAGAAGAAGTAGAAAAACCAGAATAGTACTATTCTTAGTAAAGAACTTGAATTTGTAATTAAGCACATTCCCCAAATCTCCAGGCCCAGAAGACTTTGCTGGCAGATTCTTCTTACCAATCATCCATAAGCTTTTCCAGAAAATGAAGAAGGGCCTACTTCCCAGCTCATGTTCTAAGTCCAGAACAACTAACAATGAAACCTGCCAAGGACACACCAGTTCAGACCACTCACCATCATAAGCAGAGATGTGAAGCCCTACATAGAGTGTTAGTGAATACTTTACATCATACATGCTTTCTGGAAAATCGTACACTTTGAAGTATACAGTGAATACCAGCAATATATAAAAATGATCATCTATCAGAAACAAGTTGGGTTTATTCTATGAAGCAGGGTTGGCTTAACATTGGACAATAAAGGGCGCCTGGGTGGCTCAGTCGGTGAAGTGTCTGCCTTCGGCTCAGGTCATGATCCCAGAGTCCTGGGATCGAGTCCCACATCAGGATCCCTGCTCAGCGGAGAGGCTGCTTCTCCCTCTGCCTGCCATTCCCCATGCTTGTGCTCTCTCTCTCCCTCTCTGACAAATAAATAAATAAAATCTTAATAAAAAAAACCACATTGGACAATGAATCCATGTAATTTACTACATCAACAGAAAAAAGGAGAAAAAGCCATGATTGCATGGGCAGATGTGTGAAACACGTTTAAGAAAGTTCATTGCCAGTTCATGAGAAAAAACATAATAACTCTGCCAAGTGAGGAATGGGAAGGTGATGTAGTCATTGTCGCTACCTCACACATGTCCCAACCGTGACTCGCGCTCTGGCTTTTTTGTAGCCCCTGGTGGAAGGATAAAACTCCCGAGATTCCTCACCCTTCTGCCCAGGGTACCTCTGAGGTATGCTCTACACTGCCCCCCAAATATTCCCAGGGCACTGAGCTCCAGTTGTCCCCGGGGCTCACTGGTTGATCCTGCCCCCCACCCCCCGGAATTGATCTCTGTGCATCTCTCTGCTATACAAGATTCTGATCCATTATACCCAGCCAGCCTGTCCTCCACAGACTCTCACTCTGCCTGCCCCCCTCTGGGTCAGACCCAGGGGTCTCCACTCGGGTGCCCTCCCTGTGCTGTGGTTTGGGCAGTGAGCTGGGGTGGTCAGGGGTTTACCTCATTGTTCCCTTTTGTGGAAATAAGTGAAGACCACCCAAATGAGAACAAGCAAACACCCTGCTGGCTTGGGAAGCTGTAGGGGGGCTAACCAGAATTGGGGCACCCTGTCTGATGGGTTAGGGATACATATTTGCCTTTTTCCAGTTGTTCCTAAATTGGAGATAGAGGCAAAATTTAGGTAGGTAAGCTATCAGTTGCTAATCAAGTCCTGGCTATTTGGGGACGACTGTCACAGGAGCATGTTTAACTTCCTGAAAGGTTGCTTGAGATAGAGTCTCACTTCCTGGGCTGGTTGCTGCAAAGAGTGGGTCACCCTCCTGGGCTGGGTGCCACAGGCTTTTGTCAGACTGCTATTTTTATATGTAGTCTGTTTGTATATTTCACCTCTCACCTCTCAGTCTGAAAACTGTCATTTCAGATGTTTTCCTCAGTGTTTTAGCTTTTTTTGGTGGGAGTGTAAATCCTGCCCTGCTACCCTATCTTGGCTAGAAGAAGTCTCAACATCCCAGAGTGAGTTTTTGGGTTAATCACCATTCCTGAAGTGCCTGTTTGCTTTGCGTCCATCCCTTTCTCTCACTTCCTCAGCCCCTTGACTTAGACCTTTGTATCCCCCTTCACTCCCTTCTGTCCCTAGTCCTGGGCAGTCAGACCCTGAAGTCTCTGGTTGGCATCCTGTCATACACATAAAGAGCTCCTGCAAACAACACTGTAGCGCCCATTTCCTGAGCCACTCACTGGGGACTTCTCACCACACTGTTCTGGCCTTTGCCTGAACCCTGGGGCTCTGATCCTTCCCTGGACTGTAGCAGGATTCCCAACGCCTTGCTTTGGCTCACCTGGTCATCAGTTCATGCCAGCTCTGCACCAGACAAGATGCACCCCGACCCTTTGTCTTGGTAAGTAGAACTCTGTCCAGCATTGGGCACCCCCTCCCTATTTCCTATTCCTAATGGTCCAGAATTGCTTGTTTCCAGATGGGCTCCTTTTCAGGCCATTCAATTGACTAGGGTTTCTGAAACACCTGAAAACATCACATAGGAAATCTCAGCCTTTACATTTTTCCACACGATGCTCTTCATCTTGTGCCTTTTCTCTCAGCAGGCCTTGACCCAGATGGCAGGTTGTTTTAGGGGAATGATTTTCAGAGTATGGAAAAGTGGCTATTTCCCTTGTACACAATCATATGTTGGATGTGGTCATTAGATTTTTAAAGAGGTTTTTTTTTAGCTTTTTAATGAAGATATATATATTTATACACATATGCATACACACAGCGAGAGAGAGAAGTGTACAATTCATTGACTTTTCACTAATTGAACACACTTGTTTAGCCAATGCCCAGATCAAGAAAGAGAACACTGAAACTGCATTTCATTTATATTTTACTTGTTTCTCTCTGCTCTTAGGCTAATGGTGAGCTCAATGAGGACAGGATTGCATTTCTGTTGTTCATTTTTGTGTCTCCAGGTTACAGCAGAATGCTTGACCCATGTGAGGGACATAATGTATTATATACGTTTTTTAACTGGTATTGAGGAGATGGAGCCATTCTCTTATTGGAAAGAATGTGAATCACATCTGTAAAAAATGAAATTCCTTTCTCTTTGGCTGTTACTAATATATTTCTCCCGTGTATGTTAATACACAACAGAACTCAGTAAAATTACTGTAATTGAAAGTAAATTCAAAAACAAAACAAACTCGCTCTCTCTATTGTACCTATGAACAAAGCTATCGCGGCCCCTCCCACTCTGGTGACTGTTGGCAACTGAAAGGGCTTATAGTCAGGACCGTGTGAATAGCGAGCTGTGTGTATTTGTGAGGGCAGATGTGTTTGGGGAAGAAAATGCACTGAGGTTGGCAAAATCCATTATTGTCTGGCAAGCCAAGTGATGATAAGAATCTTATTCCACTCCTTTTAGATGAGAAGGTGAATCTTGCCGCTGCTCAAGGGAAGAGTGGGGAGGAGTTTGAGCTCAGACAAACTCAGGATGAAGTTTTATCAATGGTGAATGTGGTGCATCCTCACCAAGCTAGGTGCTCATTATTTTGTATTTATCTTTGAGAGACAGAAAGGTGGAGAAACCTGTGGCCTTGGTTTGTTCATCTGCAAACTTGGAAAAATGGGTGGCTGTGTTATCCCAAAGTGCTGGACACTTACCAAGATAATCAGGGCTGGAAGCAGGTGAATTTTCTGTTTACTTCAGAGAAGAACGATGGGAAATGGCCTGAGGAGGGGATCCTGAGCGCCCTTGCAGAGGTAAATGGACACAGGGAAGTAACGCAGCATGCCTGCCACCATCTTGTCATTAGTCCCACCGCTGCTGGGTTTTTCCCTTTCATGAAGGCTGTCTTTGTTCACACTCTTGGGAGGAAGAACGAAGTTAGAACCTTGTTTATCTTGTTAAGAAAATGCGGAAAGCCTGGTGTAGGTGAGAAAAAGCAACAACCCTTGATTAACTAGAGACATGTGGTGGAGGGCCTCCAATGGGCCACCCCACTAGATGTGGGGGTGAGTCGAGGTGGGGAGTGGGCGGGAGAAAATGCATTGTGGTGTGAGCAGGAGTTGTGCTCTGTGTGAATTTTTCCATATCTTTCAAGGCTCCTGCCAGGACACTGAAATCCTTTGGCTTGTTGTGGAATTTGGATCTGGGACAATTTGCTCTAATGGGGGTTTGGCATCCATAAGTCATTATTATTAATAAACACTTGGTGAATGCCAACCATATGCCTAATGCTGAAATAAAGCTCTTTTTTTCCCTCTTAGGTTAAGTTACCAAGTAAAGGAGAATGCTGCTCAACTCTTTGTTATCACAGAAGAGGCAATTTCTTGGTACTCCTGAACTTACACTTATGTCTTTGAGCCCCTGGGTGCATTTTCCAAGGGTCTTTTCTCTTTTAAGAAAACATTCCAGAACATCATAAGTGGTGACTTTAAACTCTTCACCCCTTTCATTATCAAAAGAATGGATTTCAAAGAAGGAATGTAAGTGTCTTCTGACATAGCCTTCAGTCCAACCTGCTCTTATAAGATGACTCACTTCATAGCGGCTGGGTTTTAATGCTATGTGGCATTGAGTGGGGCTGCTTCTAAATGACTGATCTTGAATTACATGGATGAATCTTTTAAAATATATACTAGACTGAGATATGTTTATTTTTAGTGGGTTTCTCCCCATAATGTCTATCTGCATGTCTCCCTGCTGTACCCTTGATCACATCTGGAAAGCAAGGAAGAGTGGGCTTCTCTAAGGAGGACGTGCAAAAGATGTTTGAAAAATTCCCTTCCTTCATTTCCAGCAGTGACTTCTGTTTAGGAGAACTGGCACCCAAACAAGCTAGTTTGACTCTTTATTTTTTAAGCAGTAAATGGCTCTTTTAAATGACAGTGATCCCCACTAAACAAAGTTGGGTAAGGAACCAGAAGGAGAATGAAAGGAGAACATCAAACAAAGAGATAGAGAAGCAACAGCTTACAGGGTCTCCATGATGATTTTCATCTCAGAATTTCTAAATGCCTTATCAAGACTTAAAATTTACAGAATTGGGAGACTACAGGAAAGCAGACTTTTTTTTTTTTTTTTTTAAAAGAAGGGTTCCCATACATCTGTATAGTGTTTGGGGACTCTGGCCACAAGATATCCCTGCTTCCCTGACTGTCTCTGACATGCCAGTCCTGTAGCTATAGGCTATGTGAATTGTTCCTTATTGGTATAATTTGAGAAATCAAGCTCAGAGCCACCACCACCACCACCACCACCACCACCACCACCACCATCACCACCACCATCACCATCACCACCACCACCACCACCACCACCATCACCATCACCACCACCACCACCACCACCACCACCACCACCACCACCACCATCACTACCACCATCACCACCATCACCACCACCACCAGTATTCCTTCCTGGCTAGCCCTTCAAGGTGCTTGAAAGTTTACCACTGAAGAATCACTCATTTATTCATTCATCTGTTCAACAGGTTCTTACTCTGTGCCTAAAATGTGCTGGAGCAGAATGATGCAGCCTCTTGAGATCCTGGCCAACATCCCTAAGAGCTCATTCTGTTGTTTCTTAAAGAACCAAGATGCAGGCAGCCATCCCAGATGCTGTCCATTTTTTCCTGTCACTTCCCTACTTAGAATTCTTCGTGGCTTCCCTCATTGTAAGTAAAGACCAAAGTCTATACACCATAGCCCTGTGTGATGTGTCCTCTAGTCTCCTGCCCTGGGACCAGCCTCATCCTTGCCCTCTGTACTCCAGCTGCCCCAAAGTCCTGTATTCCCTATGGCTTTAGGATCTTCAAACTTGCTGGCCCTCTGACTAGAACAGTCATTGCCTGTCCCGACACACCCTCTTTATCTAGTTAACTGCCATTTATTCTTGAGATCTCAGCTCAGACGTCACTTCCTCAGGAACCTTCCCCAGATCAGACAAGCAGATTGAGAGATTAAGAGGTCACACAGCTAACTAAATAAATGACAAGGTAGGAGTCAAATTCATGTCTGCCCAGTGACAATGCCTATGCTCTTGAATACCCCCTATATTGTTTAACATCTGCAAGCATCCGTTTTCTCATTTTGCAATGAGGCAATCATTTTCTAAGTGTCTCTACCATGAGAGCTCACCTCTCACGGTCTTCTCTCCCTGCTCTGTCACCCATTTGCCATTATCAGATTAACAGCTGCGCTCAGATGAACACTAGAGGTAAATGCTTCCTAGGGTTGGTAGAGTGGGATTGGAAATTGGCCAAATTCACCATTTCCACATTAGGTGCATTTAGCCTTTATTATACCCCCAAAGCACCCCCAAACTGGTGAACTTAAAACAAGAGCTATTCAGGATTTCTCACAGTGGTGTGGGTGGCCTGGGTGGCTTCTTAGCTTCGTGGGGCTCATTCAGCTGGAGGGTTGGATAAGCTGGAAGGCCCAAGGTGACCCCACTCATGTGCCTGGCTGTCAGGATTGGCTACAGGGCGGGGTGCCTCCGCTGTCACCCTCAGGGGGCTCAGCCTCCTCGTGCCACTCTCTCAGGACCCACCAGGGGGTGGGGAGGGGACAGAAACTGCAGGGCTTCTTGAGGACCAGCTCAGGGGGTCCCCCAACATCACGTCTACCACATTCTGCTGACAGGCAGCCTAAATTCAAGGGAAACAAAGAAACACGTACCCCCTCTTGAAAAGGGGAGGCCAAAGTCTCACTGCAAAAGAGCATGGGAGAAATTGTTGTGAACACCTTTGGAAAAAAATACACAACCTGTGATGGTATATGATGCAGGGACTGAAAATAATATTCACAAAACATTTGCCACCGATATAAAAAAAAGCCTCATGAAAAAGAAGAGAACGATGATCATAACAGAGTTTAGAAGCAAAGAAACCACACATAGACTGAAGCGCAAAATGAAAGAATAAGACCACACAGGAGAGGAAAAGTTGGAGCAGGGCCTTGCAGGCATTCCCGGGTCTCACAGCACCAGGCAACTGGTCCAGAGAGGACGCAGCTTTGACACTTCCCCTTGGAGACTGCCTCGTGGGATGGCACCTTGCACGTGTGGGTCACCTTCACCCTCTTCCCAGCGGACCTGCTGGGGTTCCAGAGGGCTGGGCCGGTTCTCCGCACCTTTCCTTGTGTCCCCACTTCCTGCCAGGTCCTCTCTCACCTTTCCGGTTCTCTCCATCACCCTCCCTACAACAACCATCAGCTTTGAAGCCTGGTGGGTTGTTGTGGTTGCAATTTTGCTCTCCTCTCTGATAGAACTCCACCCCCCTGCCCCACACCCATGCACACTTCAGCAACCTGTGGCCGACTGCCCACACTGTGCAGCTCCAGCCAAGAGCCACAAGCCTGAGGGAATGTGCAGGGGCAGGTGCCCATGGCATCCCCCAGGCCTCTCCAGGGTGCTCTAGCCTCCTGGCGGCTCTGCTTGTGAGGAAGCACAGCTGGGAGCAGAGGACCCTGGAATCCAAGTACCGGGACTGGAGAGGAGCAGGGAGGTGGTGTTCACCCTTAGCCAGGAGGGGCTTCTTCTTCCTTGGATGGAAACCCAGACCTCAGTTTAATAAAAGGGCTACTAATGCCGGTTAGGCTCTCTGGGATGGGTTGTTCTTTCGTGAAGTGAAAACTTTCTTTAGTGCCTCTGGATAAGGCTTATGCTTTCTTTGTGGAATCTTCAGGCTTTAGAGCTGAAAAGAATGCTAGCCATCACTGTGCTCTCGCAGTGATCCCGACCCAAGGGCCCTGGGTGCCAGAAGGCTCTGCACTTAACCAGAAGTTTTTGCTGACTCTAGGACATTTCTCTTTTTTCTTTTTGAGAACTCATATGTTAGTTTTAATTCTTTCGTAAATTTGATATTCTGCTCTGTTATAAATCTGATTGCTTTAGTGAAATAGTAAATGTTTTCCAGTTTCCATCAAATAATGATTTTCCAGGAAGAATATTTGACATATTCCTCTGCATCTTCGTGTGTCCCAATTCCTCTGGGACTGAGGAATACAGATAAAGCAGCATCTCTTGTTTTCCAGGTAAGGGACCAAGGCCCCAAGGTTGGGTGACCATCCTCAGTAATGGATTGAGCCGGCAACACCAGGCCAGCCAGCTCACTGTGCTGACCCCTGCCTGGGCATCCTCTCCTCGTGAACATTTGCTCGGGGGTTCCCGCTCAGCCCTGGATGGGGGCTTGGTTGGAGAGAAAGGAGATGAGTGGTAATATCTTCCAGATGTGAAAAAGATGATGTTACTTCTGCAATTTAATTGCTTATAATAATGAAAGGGTTGAGAGAAGCAGGGAGTAATTAAAGATTTTGAGCCAAGCAGAAGTTCAGGTTTAGCAAGTTAACGACATTGGCAGGCGCAGAGGACAGGGAACTCCAAAGCCACAACCACCTACTCTTTTTGAGAAGAATGTGGCTATGGTGACTGTATTTTATAAACCAAAAATATGGCCTGACAAAGGAATCAAAAACATGCTTTAAAAAACACCACTTTTGACTTAGGAATTTATTTTTTATAAGACTTAACAAAGGAATAAAAATAAATCTATAGACTTATACATTTTAAATGGCCTTTGAAAAAGAATAAAGCACCTATAATTGGTACACTCCCAGAAGATCTGCCTTATAAATATGCCTCAAGAGAGAAGAATGATTTTTTTTTTTTTGCTATGCTATAGACATGAGTTTGTGGGGTTTAGATGTTTTCATTTTGCTACATACCTACTCCCTCTATCAAATCCCTGAATTGACCCATGGGTCAATTCTCAGGTCCGTAAAATAGCTATGGACCCTTAAAGTTTTGAAATTCCATGAGTCTATTCCTGCCTCTGGCATTTCCTTTCAAATGCACCTTTCATATTTTATTTAACAAATCACTCTTGTGGTTGGTAGAAGTGGAGATCAAGGAACAGGTTTGTGTGCCCCATGTATGCTATGAAGGCTGTGGGGGGTGAGAAAATGATGTGGTGAGGGCAGGGCCATAGTCTCTTCTGCTCACTGCTGGATTCTCAGCAGCTAGACAAGGGATGGTGAATGGCAGGCATGCAATGGCTACTGAGTGAATGAATGGATGGATGAACAGATGGACAGATGGACAGATGGATGGATGGATAGATGGATGAAAGGAAGTGTCCATATTTATTGTTACTAGGTATATTAATTCAGGGAATGGCTTCTTTTTTCTGGAAGGACACATATCATTTCACTAAACGCTATGTGAAGTTTCAATCTGAAGCAAAGTGATCACCCTTACAAAATCACAATTTATGTAAGAGACGAATATAAGCTGATATTCATTTTAATGTAAGGTGATGGAAGAAAACTGCAAACAAAAAGTGGATTTTATGCTGTGAAATCTTGGTGTATAACTATCTGCAATATTTTAACAGCTTTATTAATACATAATTCACACACCATAAAGTTCACCCAACTTATGGGTACAATTCAATGGTTTCGAATAATTTTACACGGTTGCTCAATCATCACAATAATTTAAGAACATTTTTATCTGTTAGCACACACTTCCCATCCCCTTGCATTTCCCCTCCCCACTCCTCAACCACTAATCTACTTTCTTTCTCTATAAATTTGCCTCATCTGCACATTTCATAGAAAGTGGAACTGAAAAAAATTATTGTAGCATCATCCCAATTATGACATATCCAATCTATCTCTATGGATATGTAGATGCATATTCCTATATGTCTCCAAACTGAAGGAAGCACACCTAAATATTAAAGTTGATTGCCTTCAATCAGTTATACTTATCTTTATTTTCCAACTTTCTACACTACATGTGTTGGTTCTCTATCAGAAGTGGGATGTTCTTTTTTAATTTTAGACATTTAAGTTTTATATTGATGATGCTATGAAATGATGATAAAGGGTACCTATGATCTTTATTTTTATGAAGTAATGAAGTATTAAAGTTAGGTTGAAATGTTTTTACTTATTTCTGTGTTCAACTTTAGTAGCTTTGCCTTTTGGTCTGTATTTTCCCAATCCTTTATCATAAATTTTATCTCAGATTATATATGATGCAGTTTGCAAGAGGCTTTTAAATCCTTCTTGGAATGAGACCCGATAGAAACAAATAGGTAAACAACATAAAAGAGGATGAATTTAATACAGATGCATTAGCTAGAGGTGGATGGGGGTGCGGAATGTCATTAGAAGTTGAAACCCGTAGTTAGATATATTGGTGTGCCTTTCCAGATATGCTAACAAGGAGAAACGCTGCCTGATCTGGGTTCTCTCTTCTTTCTTTTCTTGTTCCCTTAAGGGTTTCCTAATTTGCAAAGGAAGTTTTCAAATTGGGGAATTAGACAAACTCTATCAGAATTATGTATGGTGTCTATTACAAATGTGAGACTTACTGAAGCAAAAGCTCTTGAGGCAATGTCTAGGAATTTATCTTCCCTCCCCTGGGTGCTTCAAGTATACACAGAAAATTCTGACTCCAGAATGGAAGCAATGGTGAGACCGTTACCACCTGAAGGACACATGACCCTACCAACCACCTCCCCTACAGTAGGACCCTTCTTTTCTGGGGAAGACACAGGTTGACTAGGTGACTGCCAATCTGCAATCAGAATAGTCCAGAAACTATTGGCCAGAAGACTTCTCTGCTCCTTAGCGCCCCAGCATTACCTAACCATGAGCTCAATTCTAAAGATTTGCGGGTCCCAAGTCCTGAGATTTTATCAATATTGATAGACAGCATTCATGTATAAAAACTTGGCACCCTCACCCTAAGCCTGCAAACCTACTTTATTGCACTTTTCCTAAGCGTAGCTATTCTAAAGCCAGGTCTGCTTTCTCCCCAAGGTTTATTTTTCCAGAATGGCCTTCCTCTGGACCAGCTTGGCTCTCACCCGGGTTATTCTGGGGCCTTTCTGCACACAGATGAGGTCTCACCAGGAACACAGTTTCAAGGGCTTAACTTGTCTCCAGCTTGGTCTTGGAGAGAAATTTTTTATCCCCAGGTGCAAATGTAGAAAACAGGTAAACATAAGCTCTTTGCTAATGTGAAAGATGTGAGCATTGGCATTCCTTGAAATATGGGTTATATTTCAACATAAGTTTTCTTGTAATATTACAGTCAAAGGGGAAAATAACTTGAACTGGAATTGATCATTTGCTAACATCCATCCTGCTTCTAGGTTTAGGCATCCAGAAAAAAACAATTGCTTCTTTATCGAGAGAAAGAAATCTGAAGGCACTCTCATATTGCAAATTCGTCAGTGAGTTGTGTGTGCGTTATGTGTGTGAGAGAGAGGTGTGTAATTCCAAAGATTCTTTCTGGCCCCCCCACCCCCACTTTCCACAACCCATCAACAACTTAGACTATCAAAAGCTTTTTCTTTCTTTTTTCATAGGGAAAAAAACCCAGAATTTGTTCTGCTTGAATTATGGAAAACAAAGAGGCTTCGGGATGACTCTTTTCTATGAGACTCTCCCATCTTCAGATGTCAAAACACCTTTCTCCTCTTCAAATGGACCATTGTGTTCTGGGGTAGCAGTAAAGGCAGGTACTTGAGGGTGTATAAGTGGATGTGTGAGTGTGTGTGTGTGTGGATATTTGTGCACATATGAGTGTGGGAGTTTGTGTGGTGTGTGTATGCTCTGTAACACCCTACAATTATTAAGATCTAGAAAACAAAGGAATACAGGGTTTTCCACCATCTGGTTGCTGACAGACTTCATGCCTGAGTTTACCCAGTCATGTGCCTGGTGCCCGGATATAGAGTCCCCCTGGCCCCGCCCAGCGCAGCTGGAGCTAAGCATACCTGGATCACAGAGGCCTCTGGAGCCCTGAGTCCTGCCTCATCTCTGAAGGTCTCAACGTCACTGTCACTTCCAGTCACACAGACTCTTGCCCAAGACTAAGCAACACTCAGGAGCCCGGACTGTTCATTCCTGGGAGAAACTGCCTGTTCTGATGCAATTGTGCTATTCTCACTGCCGCTGATAAAACTTAATAGGGGGAGAAGTCCTCACGTTCACAGGAGAATTTAAAGGAGGAAATGCTCTTCATTTAAGTGTTTCATACTTTTTCAAAACTTTCGTGCCTGTAGTCACTGTTAAATGTAACATAGGTGGTATCTAACTTAGACAAAAGGATACAGAGTATTTCTTTCACTCTTAAATATACCCCCAACATTCTGACATCCCTGAATTCAGGATGCAAACCTCTTATCGATGGCATATTAGAGTTTAACTGGCAGCATGTTTTCATCGTCTTCAAAGCATAAAATATTAGCATGTGATGGCCCTGTTGTCATTCCTCATGGGGCGGGACATAGTTGCAAGCCTGACAGAACCACCCCAGACCCGTACTGCTGTTCCCTGTCTGGAAAAGCTGGGCGCCCCTGGGGGAACACACATCCCATCTGCAAGAATCCTGCTCCGGCCCACAGCCTCCAGCTTCCCCAGCTCAAGCATTTCCCCATTCCTCCTCTCTAGACAGTACCCACGGCCTTGGGGGAGGACTGCCCGGATGAAAGAATTAAATGAAGTCACATTACGCTGTGGGGAACAGATGGGCTTTGGGGAGTTTACTCCCAAGTGTTCGGCAGTAATTCCCATTTTAGAAGAGTCAGGAGTAGGCAGCAAGGAGCCGAGAGTGAGCAGAGGACGAAAGGGTGGGCTTGCTGTGAATGAGATGTGGTGGGGCTCTGGGGAGGGGGGAGCTCTGGTTCCAGGCGCTCAGCGGGTTCCCACCAACTCTGTCCACTGGCCATCCGTGCGGAACAAGCCCCAGAACCCACTCCGGGACTGCGCTGCACCCAGCACCCCAACAAGCGGACACTCCCTCTTCTAGCCCTAAGGCCAGGGTTCAAAGGGCAGAGGTGAGGCCTGGAGAGCCTGAGCCAGGCTCATCCTGGCTTCAGACACCTCCCAGAGACTGGGCTCCCTCTGCACTCACCATTTCAGCCACTGCTTTCTCTTCCTGGAAATCATCCACCCTCCCTCCTTCGAATTCTTTTTGCCACAGCAGAGCTAGTGGCCAACTCCTTCTCTAAAGCCCCCTTGTCCCGGCCCCTGTGGATGCACACAGACTGCGATTGAGCAGCGCCCCACCCGCTGGGCCCTGGCCCGGCCAGCCTGGTTGGAAGAGGAGGTCAGGCTCCCGTGAAATCCCCAGTGATGTGGTCACCTAGCCCCAAGGATGCCGCCACAGCCGGTAATGAGGGTAAGAGGAGGGGAAATCGGAGCTCCCCAGCGGTCACTCAGAGTGTTACTGTCTCCCTGTCTTTCCCTCACCACGCACCCCCCCATCCCAAACATTTTCTTTTTCCGAGAACCAGGTTGAATGGGTTCATTTTTGCATTCATTTTATCCCTGATGGACTGCACAGCTTCAATAAGTGGCCCTTTTTTCTAGAACTTGCTGCTCCAGGAAGACCACAGGCACACAAGGCCCTCAAGATCTCGCATGCTTTCCTTGCCCAGGAGGCGCCTCCACCTCTGCCTCTAGGGGACCATCTGCAGCTCTGCCCTTCTTCCCTATTCACTAGGGGGTCCCCCTGGCCAGCACGTCCACCTCCCTGCTCCTGGCTCCTCCCCGCCGCCCCAGCCCTCACCATTACTTGACACAGTTTTACCTTACTTATTTATTTTATTTATCACTAAAATGCAAGTCTCACCGGGGCTGGGATTTACTTCTGTCTGTGCTACTCATCACTGTATGAGCATTGCCTGAAAGAGCGCCTGGCAGGATCAAAGCACTCAAAAATATTCCTGGATGAATAAGAAGTTGGAGGACACTCCTAATTATAACAATCAGTTTGAAAATGACCCACTTACCCATTCAGCTGCTCTCAACGGAGCCATGTTTGTTGAGCACTTGGTATGCTTGCTGGGCCGGATCCGGTCTCTGGAGGGGTTTCCACTCTCTGGGGGGGCCGCGCTGTAAACAGATGGTTCTGGCCCAAGGATGCCGGGGTCTAGTCCAGAGAGGGGCATGTGAGGCTGGCGCGGGGATGGAGACACCACTTGGGCCTCCTGAAACGACTGAAGGGGAAGGAGGAGGCACCCTGCGTAGGACTGCATTCCGGCAGAGGCCATGGCTCAGCCGAGAAGCATGCCCTTGGGATAGTTCAGCAGGAAAAGGGGAGAGCGAGGATGGGGGTGGGAAGCGGCGGCGGGAGGCACAGAGAGGGAACCCTTGGGACCGCGTCACTTCCGGGGATGCTGGGGATGCTGATGCAAGGGGCGGGGCCCGCAGCGGGCACGGGACAGGACCCCACAGGCTTGTTGGGACAACTGAGGGTGCGATCATGGCCTCTGCTGAGAAGGAAGATGGAGAAGAGGCATCTGGGAGGGGAGACAACCAGTTCTATGTGGCCTGCGAGCCCCCAAATGGGGGTGCAACTGGCTACTGGGAATGGAGAGCTGGTTCAAGAGAAGGGTCTGGGCCAGTGTGAGAAGTTTAGGACTTTGAACATACAAATGGCAGCTGAAGCCAAGGGGATTAGGGTAAGTGGGCAGCGGGAGGGAGCAGGGGACTGGTCAGGCTCCTGCAGGGGAGAGAGAGGGAAGGGCAGCTTCAGAGGAGCCAGTCTGTGGTCCTGGAAATGCTGGAGAAAGAAGAGATTTAGGGCCACAGATCAGAGAAGGGGTTGCAGAAGTATCTTCCTCTGGCTGTGACTCAGGCCCAGGCACCCCCTGCTGTCCTCATCTGGGTCCCTCTGGTTTGGGCTAACTCCACATATTCCCTCTGCGGGACTGACCCCTGATTGCTGCTGGGAAGCCCCTTGTCCTGCATCTGTGTGTTATCTAGGGACTGGCTTGGCCCCAGGGGTGCCTGAAGCTTATGGAGAGAGGTCCTTAACAGTGGTGGGCTTCTCATTCCAGACCTTGTCACTGAGCTCTGTTGCCACACCCAAGATTCGGATGGGAGCAACCCTGAGAAATCCCAGGACATGAGGAAGGCAGCTCCTCAGTGGCTTCAGGGCCACCTCCCCTGCCTTCCTGGGCCTTCTGGGTCTTTCCAAATACCTGGCACTGTTCTGCTGTGGGCCTGTGAGCGACGGCCCCAGGCTTCCCGGCTGATGGGGCTGATTTTCTTGGTATTTTCTTTATTATTTTTTCACTCTTGTTCCCATCCGAGGACTGGGAGCCGGGCTGGGCTTCCTCACAAAGTGGACTGGATCGTATCCTCTGCACCAGGTCACCAGCGGTGCTGCTTCTGCCACCACCTGAGGAAGGAAAGGAGAGGAGCCTTGGCTCCAGGTCACTGAACAACGGCCAGTTCCTGGACTGCTGAGCTGAAAAATAAAAAAACTCCTTTCCAACCAGACCCTCACTCCCTTCACTTTTTACCTCACTTGATTATCTACACAATGAGTTTGTGGCGAGGCCTTCTCCAAAGGCTCTTCCAGAAGCAGGTGGGTGGGTTCTGCCCCATGACAGATCCTGAGCCGAAAATGACGCTGCTCAGAGGAGGATTCCACTGCACACCCACCGGCGTGAATGGTCCCCGAGGGGCCTTCCCGGTTGCTCTGTGCTCACCTTCACTCTTCTCCTGAGAAGGACAAGGACAGGGCAACTAGAAATACAGTGAGGAACGAGAAACTTCTCAACTAAGCAAGATAGATGGGGCGAGCAGCAGCTTCCTGTCACAGCCCTGATCTCCAATCTGCCATCTGACACCTCTGCATGGCTCTATGACCCTGGCATGATACTGAACTCTTGAGTATCCAAATCTGAAAAAGCTTTTGGGGGTGTTGTAGGGGCCAGTGACGGGGTATACAAAGTGCTTGAGCTCTAGTACGTGCTTAGTACACTTTACCTTCCTAGCCATTGATTGTCACCGTGGGAATCCACACATGCTCCATAAATCGTGAGCATGGCAGCATCCAAGTGGGATGACAGATGCCTGACCAAACACCAGCTCCTTGCACATGTCCCCGTTCTTCTGTCTCATCGCACACCTTCTCTCTGCCCTCCTCCTCGATGCCTGGCCTTTCCCTGTGGGCCCCCAGCCTGCTGTGTCCACGGACTCCAGTGTTAAGTCATTCGGAGGTCTGGCTCTGCTCTCCAGCTGGTCTGACCCCCAACCATACTCTTTCTATGTCAGTCCCGGCACATGAGGCGTGGCCATGCCGTTGACCACCTAGGTGGCAGGGGAGAGGAGACATGGCGTGGAATGGGAATTCTTCCTAAACATCCTTTCAGTGGCCTGGGCACTTCTAATCATTAAACAGAAAAATTGAACGGGGAGTTGAAAACGGCCTTTATGGAGAGCCTGCTGCATGTCAGGGAACATGCCTCCTATCAGTCCTACTAGCTCTACTTTACAAGTGTGGATATTGAAGGGAGGAGAGAATTAGTATTTTGCCCAGGAGACAAAGTCAGGATTTGGACCCAGTTCAGTCTAAGAGTTTGTGATTTCCTGTCGCCCCACATTGCTCTTTGAGGAATAACCAGACATAACCAGAAGGAAGCCCATCCCTGGGGCGTTATCACTACAGAAGTTCTGCTCTCCATCACCTCCCATTTCCTGCCTCTACCATTAGTCAAACAGTCACCTGCCGAGGAAAGACTTTGAGTGGGAGAAAGAAGCAAGAATCTCCTAAAGGCATATAGCAGCAACAATGGACTTGAACTCTGCTATTTGTTTTCTGCACTCTCTGTGCTGGCTTAGGACCAGATATAAATGGTGGGAAATAGCCCTAGGAAAAATGAGCTTACCATTTATCTGTCCATGAGTTCAGTAAAACACAAGCTTCCACGGACTACACACTTCAGAGGAAAGTCATGGAGCAGGAATTCAAAGGGGAGACCAGTGTTATAGACTCTACTTGGGCAAGTAGATATCAGCTTCTTTCCTCACATTCTCACTGCTCCTTACCGAATCCAGGCCTCAGTGAGTTCTCGCCTGGGTTCAGGTGAAATAACTCCCTGGCTACCCACCATGGGGTCTCCACCGGCTCCTTTCCCTAAACACCGTGCCTGACTCCACATGTCCACAAGCATGGGTGAAGCAACTGCCGTCCCTCTGTGGGTTTTGGCCTTCTCTCCAGCTCCCTGTGGACCTTGTGACCCCAATGGGGAGAACCAAACTGAAAGATCTGATCTGGGGGTACTGGGAGTTAAGGAAATATTTTAGAGTTTTTGCCATGCCTCAGATCCTATGGATTATAATTACACAATCCACCAATACATATGGCCAATTCTTTCCCTAAAAGATTTCCAAGAAGAAAATCTTTGCCCTCAAAATATTATCCTTAAAGAGGTTGTTCTGAGCTACACTACCTTCACCTTCCCCATTATAGCACCCTGTTCACTTATCACACTTTACACATAAATATGTCTTGGCTTGTTCGGCGTTTTGCTCATCTACTCTGTAAGCTGTTTGCTTCATTCTGTTCCATTCTGTGCCCTGGAGTCCGCCTGGAACCTTGCAGATGGAATGTCTTGAGTTGGGATATCCAGTTTAACAGTAACTGGGCTTTGAGGTGATAGATACGACAAAAAGAAATACAAACCTTTGTCTCTAAATTCATGCTTTTTTTCATTGATCTACATAGTCACAAAGCAAAACCAAATCCTCCGCCCCGGAAGGATGGAGCTACATGAGCCCTGAGGCGGCTGTGCCTTTCCTGAGGTTCCCCATCAGAGCCCGTGGCCTCTGGAAGTGGGTCATGCGCATCTCCCCATGCGGCACCAGCCAGGCTGGGCAGAGGCCCGTGGCATTTGGCCCTGATGATTCCCTCTGAAGATTCTTCAAACCCAGATTCACTGAGGTGGCTTGGAGGGGCAGCTCTCCCTGTTCCTTCCTCCTAGAAGGCACTGTCCCTCATTTGTTATACGGAGACCTCAGATTTTTTTTAAAAAAGATTTTATTTTTAAGTAATCTCTACACCCAACCAACCTGGGACTCGAATTTACAACCCCGAGATCAATAGTCACACCCTCCAGCGACTGAGCCAGCCAGGCACCCCTCAGATTTTTTTTTAAACTTAATAAAAATAATTTTTCTAGATGAACACTGAAATGAAAACAGACTTAAAAAAATTTCTCACAGAGCAAAAATGTTCAGCCTGAAGAGTTCCATAGCTTGAGAAACCCAGAGAGTTCGGGTAAACGTGTTATTTCCACCAAGTGTGTTTTCTTTCTCTCTGTGTGGAAACAATGTTATAATCTTCATCGAAGTAGAATTTCCTAGCAAATGACACCACGATGGTTGGTACCTGAAATGATTTTAAATTTTAAAGGTTGTGTATACATTTGAATATACTGTAGCAGGTACATTTTTTCCTGAATCACATAAACAGGTGTACAAAAATGCATCCCTGTATCTCTAAAACTGTAATTACCTTTTATCTTGAGCCCCCATCCTGCCTAATGCTAGAAACTTGAATCGTGTTGCCTCCAGGGTTTAGCATTGATTAACAGTGCAAGGACTCTCTATATAATTTAGTGTTTGTGGATATTTAAGTGACCCTATAACAAAATAGGTTTAAGTCAACTCTAGGGGTTTAAGTCAACTCTAGGGATGCAAAGGAATGTTTTTCCCTTCGAAGAGGGTCCATACGTTATTCACATTCAAGCACTGGGTTAGTACACTTTAGCAAGACTCGATAGCCCTGGTGAGGGAAATGCTTTGTTTTTAAAGTCTCAGGCCTATTTTTGATTAGTATTTTGAAGGCACACAAGGACTATCCCCTGAGAGTTTGGGCCTGGGAGCCTTGCAAAGTCTCCAAGCCCTCTGCACACCCACATTCTCACCCTCTGGATAGGTGATGTGTCCAAGTGCACATGCGTGTTGGTGTGGCATGTGACAACAAGAAAGCACCAGGTGGGTCCCGTGGGCACAGAGCTCACAAGCCAGCACCCAGGGCGTAGAGACCAAAGTGGGGACCTTTTATTAGGTCACAGGAGAGGACACTCAAGGACAAAGAGTCCTCTCTCTAACTGGTTCCCACACCACATCTGGCTTTTCTTGTTGCCAGACTAGAAGGGTTGATTTGCTCAAATGAATGTGTTCTGGAATTTGGGAAAAGTTTCCAATTGTTCATATCCCTGGAGAAAACCTCTTAACACTTATGTGCCCATCTCTGTGAAGCTGTTATATTTCAGTATACATTTGCAGGTTGCTGTCAGTATGTATTTATACATTTTATTTGTGGTTACATCTTCTTTTCCTTTTTGAGGCAGTCAGTTCCTTAAAGACTGGTCTCATTTTTCTCTTTTTAATTGTTAACAAACTTCATATCATGAGAGTTAAGTGTTGGCTTGGTATACTATTAACAAAACAAACAACTCATTTCTTAGGGGAAAATCATTAAAACCTTCAGAGTATGAAAAACTCGGACATTCAAAAAACTCCCTAGAAATAACAATTTCATCAGTCACACAAGTGGGTTCAAAAGATAGAGTAGGTCTGTTCCCATCAGACAGGCAGATAGCTGGAGAAACAGCCCATACTCTGTATTTTCCTGGGGCTGAAATGTGAAGAGGACCCCGGAGTTGACAATTACTATCATTCTGCTCATCGTCCCTATCGACCTACTACCAAGGCTTAGATAATTTTTTCACTGGAAATAACAGAACCCTTTGTTACTGGGTCGTATTAGTGACATTTTTGACCCTCAAGTATACTTCAAGTATTTCTCATGGAATTCTATAGGTTAAAAATATGGCTCCCCTTTCCCCCCCGCAGATTTAGGTTGATATTCCACCAAACAAATTAGAGCCAGCTTTAATGTTCCATAAGCTAACACCAAGGCCAGAGAAACCCAAGGGAGCCACATCAAGTGGTATCATTCTTTTCGAAAAATATGCATTGAGCTCTTAACATAGGCCTGTATTTTGGCACAGAGCATTATTTTTTTTAAGATTTTATTTATTTATTTGGGGTTGGGTAGGAGCGGAAGGAGAGAGAGTCTTAAGCAAACTCCACGCTGAGTGCTGAGCATGGAGCCCAACACAGGGCTTGATCTCAAGACCCTGAGATCAGGGTCTGAGCAGAAACCAAGAGTCAGGGGCTTAACCAAATGTGCCACCCAGGCATCCCTGCACAGAGAGCTTCTAAGATAGACTATAGCATGGACCTTATCAAGAAGCGGATAATCTAGGGGAGCTCCAAGTGTATTTTTAAAAAGTGAGTTATAAGAAAAGAAAGTACAAAATAAGTTCTACACAAGAGGTAACATCAAGATATTTTAGGAACATAAACAAGGGGGAAGGATGCCTGGCTGTGGGTGGGGACGATGAGACCTGCGAGTGTCACACACCCAGCAACCACAGCCCCATGCAGAGCGCAGATGGACCAAGGCAGGAGCTGGGAAAGTCATTACTCAAGAAGTTGCCCAACTGAGGTCCACGCTTCAGGGCAGCACGGCATCCGGAAGGTGCTCTGAAAACTTTACACAGCAGTGGCTCTCCTCCTCGACGTCATGAATTTTTGAGTTCCTGCTGCCTGTGGGGCACTAGGCTGCACACTTGGTGGGAAATACAAAGAAATCTAAACAAGGTCTCGAATCTCTAAGTGCTTGGGCTAAAGTCAAACGAGCGCTCTTCAGACCGGGGCTGGCATTACGCAAAGGCCTGCCACTGAGGCAGCAGCCTAGTGAGCTACAGACATCTGGGGTGGTCCTTAGTCTGGCAGCCATAGACAGAGCGGCTGACGGGCCCCTGAGCAAAGAGCATAATGTCCACAATGGACTCACACTGACCCACTTCTGGAGAGGCTGCAGTGTGGCCCAGACCAACAAAGTAATTTAGTGTGAGGAAGAATTCTCCGCGGATTGGACTGTCATTAATCCGGGGTGCACCTTTCAAGATGCCTGTGAGAGAGAAGGGGGGGTCAGAAGGTTGCTTGGTGATGGCAGGTTTATGCTTGGTGATGGCAGGTTTAAAGAAAGAAGTAGATTGTCTTGAAACATATTGCAACCAGTAGAACTGGATGAAACTACTGCTGTTGGTCAGAGAGCTTGTGCCTTCCAGAGACTGCATCGCCACCAGGGCCAACTTGCCTCTCCATCTCCCCCATTTTCTCCACCCCATTGGCACATCTGATAAGAGAGTCTTTCTTTAGATTGTCCCATTTGTTGGTTATAATTAAACTAGAATCCAGCTGCTAGTTACATTGGCCATGGAGATATTTTTTCCTCCACATATGTATTGGTATGATTATTTTCAGGTTCTTGGCAAAGCAGGGGGTGAGGGACACTTCACTGATATTCTTATCATTCATGTACTTTTACCACCTAGTTGAGCAAAAGACGTGTATGGAAACATCACTTAACACTCTTACTGTCTGTAGAGACTATGGATCTCCTGCACATGTATTATCTCATGAATTCTCAAAAACACTTTGTAGACAGTAGAAACTAACACTCGTCTCCAACCTACTACGTGTCACTCTCTTCAGCTGCTTTGCAATTTTCCTCGGATTCTTGCCCAATTATGTAATGTCGATATGATTCTGCTCGTTCACCTTTAAGAAAATGGGAGCGCTGAAGTTGCCACAGCTTAGTCGGTGGTAAAAGCCTAAATTAAGTGAGGCAAAACATCCAACACTCCTAACTCCGAGTGCAGGGGTTTCCAGCTACCTTCATGAGAACAGAACGGATCACTCCCGACAACGCACGAACAGGCCCGTGAGCGCCAGTGTCTCGCAGTGAGGCAGAGCCGAACCCGGGAAGGCCGGGAGCATGCGCAGGAACGTCAAACCATAAAGCAAAGGTCAGCAGAAAGACTTTGATGAGAAACATTATAAATGTGGCGACCGACAGGTTAATGATCCTATTACATCCCTTTTCCAAATGAGCATCTAGAAGGAGGTGAAATGGAAGTGTTGGTTTTGGATCGTGTACCGAGTGGCCTCTTTGTTGGCTTCCTTTAATCAGGAACGTTGTCTTAATTACTCTTCTTTTTCCTCAAACCCAAAACCCATCTTCATGTAAGTTGGGCAAGAATAAAATTTATTTGTTTGTTTGCTTGTTTATTTTATCATTATTATTTTTTAAAGAATAAAACCTATTTAGCATGCATTGGCCCTCCTGTGTTTCTTGGAGCCCAATTTGATTTGTCATTGGCCTGTGGTCGCATGTTTCCAAGGTCAGGGCACAGGTTTTAGTGGCCCGAAGTGGCGCAGAGGAGAGCAGCTGGGTTCCCTGGGGCAGGGCGGCGCCCGGGGCTGTCACCCAGCGCACAGGGGCTGCCCACGGGGACCTGCCTCCAATATTGCCACTTGGCAGGTGTTGTCTGATCTGCTGGGAATCTAATAAGAAACGGGGAGACTCTGGGAAGCCTTTCAACTCTAACCCGGGTTTGCAAGGACTGCTGATAGGAGGCCAGGGTGACCCTGTGGACAGTTAAAGAGATGAAAGGAAGCCTTTCGGATTAACTAAGATTTAGGAAATAAAAGGATTAGCAGGACACAAAAGGAGATTTACGGGTTTATTTAGCCAGGGCAGTGTGGCATGCCAGGATGTGGGACATCCAGAAAGAGATAAAAGGGGCTAACTCAGGAGGTCGCAGGGCAGCAAAGATGAGCAGGGTCCCCCCAAAAGCCTGCTAAATCTTCTGATAATTGAAAATGGGCCCGAAAGGGACAGTGCCCCATTACTAATCCCGACTCCTCCACCAAGCAGTAAGAAGAGATACAATGACCGGCCATCTCATGGAGGGAGGGTCACTGCTCAAATGAGCTTAGGATGCAGAAAGTTCATCTTCTGACAAAGTCTTATTCACAGATTGTTTCTATCTTTGGCAACAATGCAAAGTTTAACATTAGGGGGTGGGAGATTTAATATCATTTGCAGGTAACAAAAATCCCAAAGATGTCCTCTTTATGTTGGTAATCTTTGCTCAGTATTTGTCTTCTTCCCAAACTGTCAGACCAGAGATCCCGAACACTAGAAGGGGCAAAAGTGTGTCTGGTCTAACCAACTTTGTAAGGTGGGGTGTCCACTCCAACACCCCAATGGATGGGTTTGCCCTCTGTCCCAGGCAAGGACCATCCTGTTCACGGTGTGCGTTAGAAGCAAGCTGCTTCTAGTTTTTAAAGGTTCTTCCTTACACTACACCTAAATCAGCTGGCCCTTGTTTTGCAAGATGGAGAAATTTAGAATGAGTCCACCTTCCTGTTTACATAATTGTCATCCAAACATCTGAAAATAGCTAGTACAATGCCCTTAAATATTTCTTTTCCTTGGCTAAACATCTCACCCCCCTTGATAATTCTTATATTAGATTTCAGGTTCTTCTGCTGGGACACTGAAAAGAAGGCGGGTGTTCTTCTGAACTTCCTTCCACACTGCTCTACAAGCCATCCCTAGAAGCACTGATGAGGCTATCTCCCTGATCAGATGCCTTCTAATTCCTGCCCCACCGTGTTCAATAAACATATTCCATGAAGCTATCCTCACCAAAGTCTTCTCCTCCCAGTATGAGACTACCAAAACAGATACTAGACAGCTGCCTTAAGAGCTATAATTAATATATGTTACCGCATCTATTCACTTGGTATTCATCAGACATTTATGGAGCACCTGCTAAATATCTGGTGCCCACTTAGCACTAAGAATAGGTTATTAAGACATGGTCATGGCCCTGGAGGAGCTCACAGTTTTGAAGCAGACATGGACACTTAAGTAATCATACCTAAATGTGATATAAGCTACAAAAGAGGTAAGTTCCAGAGATCAGAGTATGGGATATCTGAATGTTTCACAGATAAACGAGAAGGAAAGAACATTCTCAGGAGGAGAGAATACGCATATAGGGTTGTGAAAGCAGGTAGGAATTTGCCAGAGTCACAAACAAGTAGCAAAGTTGAGAGGCTTTCAATCCAGAGTGAACTGTTGTGGTGAGGAGAGGTAGAGGAGGGGTAGGGAGAGGGGCAGGAGGAGGGGAGGGAGGGAGGCGGGGGG